ATATATATATATATATATATATATATACACAGTTGTCGTGTCTTTAAAGGAGAATTCTGTCCTGGTGGCGAGAATTCGAGTTGGTCGCGCGATTCCAGGCTCAAGTGGGGAAGAGAGGAGGAGGGCGTTCATTCCGGTCAGACGGCGCACCGATTCCTTGAAAAATTGCCAACAACTCCCGTGCTTCCTTCCTTCCTTCCTTCCTTCCTTCCTTCCTACTCTCCTTCTTCTCTTTCTCCCTTCTAAAATTTATTTATCTCTCCCTTGAAAAGGGAGATCGATCATCGATCGTTATCACATAATATTTTCTCTCAACTTAGAATCCGAATCCGTTGGTTAGAGCGACAAAAACATTGTAGGAGGTAGATTTTACTAGAAAAGAAGAAGAAAGCGATTAAACTTTTTCCGCGCGCGTTAAAGGAAGCCATTATCGCGAACGTGAGGGGGAGGGTTTCCTCTTCGAACGGAACATGTATAGTTGTATTTTCATCGGCACGTACTAATGCGTCGGCGAACGAGCATACTCGAGAAGAAGAAGCATTGAACGACGAAGGTTTAAAGAGCGTGGAGGTACGTCGAATAGATCGCGCCGCTCTTCCTCTCTCCCTCTCCTTCTAATTCCTCCTTTTTCTCGCGCGCTTTATACCGCCAGGACGGTGTCGCAGACGGTGCCGCATGCCTCGCCGATAAAATGAAATTTATCCTTCCTCCGTGTTCTCCCCCCGATAAAAATATATTTGATTGCACGATTTCCAAATTTTCTCTACCCTCTTCGAATTTTCATTCGATTTCGAAAAGGTTGGAAAAGTTTTCGCATCCCGTTGAAGCGATTTATCAATGGAGAAGATCGCGCGCAACCAAGGGAAGCTTCATTAACCCCTCTCTCTTTTCGAGTTGCTCGGTATTCCAAGCCGATGTTCTCGATTCCGTCACTCGTTTTTTTTTCCCACGATCGAGAGGAATGGCGGAGAGGGAAGGTTGGAGTCACGTTCCTTTTCCACGGATTTTCTCTCCTCCGCGAATCGATCCGATGATCGATGAACGAACTCCGCGATGGTAGATCTTAGACTTTGACGCATCCAAGGGCGGTTGATGGGCGGCACATTTGCAGGGATGATGCATTGCGGCCTGGAATGCGGAAGGAGAAAAGGGGAGCGATGCTTTCAGCTTCGCCTCCTCGAGTTTGGCCGGCTTTCTTTGCCTCTCTTCCTCCCCAACTTTCCTCCAGAAACGAGAGGACCTAAAACCCCGACACGGAAAACTTGCCTCGTTATCTTTGATTACGTTCTCGATTCTTCCTCCTCCTCCTCTTCTCGAAGAATCGGCCGAGTTGGCCCGGAAATTTTGTAATTTGTGTCGATTGTTCGGCGTCTCCTCCAGAGTTTCCTCTCGACTTTTCGCGGGGGAGGAGAGAAAGACAGACTTGTTGCGCGAGAAAGGAGGAGGTATCCGATTCGATTTCGAATCGACGTTGAAATCGATCCGACGCCTATTGAGCCCCTTTCGGGATCGATTCATCACTCGTCCATTGATTCTTTGGCTATACTCACTTTTTCGAAAGCGTTTCTATATCTTTTAAATACTCTACGAAAAATGG